CAATTAACAGACTGACACCTTGGGGCTTTCGAGTGGACAAAAAAAGGCTAGAAACCTTCGCCAATAGCTGTGGTAACTTGTTCACGGGAGAAGAGGAAAGCCCCGAGGAACTGATAAGGGGTATTCAGGAAAGGTGTATGCAGGTCTTCGGCATGAATAAAGGTAGAGCTGGTGGGAGACAGCCAGTCTACTGGTGGAATGGGGAAATTGACGAACTTAGAAGCACCTGCATACATTTGCGCAGGAAAGTCACTAGGGCGAGAGCGAATCCTGGGGGGCCTGAGTACGTTGCGTTAACGGAGAAGGTGGGTATCGAAGCGGGCCGGAGCGCATTCCTGAAGGTGTTCAACAAGTGTCTAAGGCGGGGGACCTTCCCTGTGATATGTAAAGAAGCCAGGCTGGTCCTAATAGAAAAACCTAAGAAAAACAGTAGCGAGGAGCAGGCGTACAGACCGATATGCCTGATAAACGCTGCGGGGAAGGTATTGGAGATTATGGTCAAGAACAGGCTACAGGATAAAATAGAGGAACACAATATACTACACGAAGAGCAATACGGAGAATCAATACGCAGCAAGGCCCTTAAGAACCAGGAGCACTGCTGCATGATTCTGCTGGATATAGAAAACGCCTTCAATTCGGCCCCCTGGCACAAAATAGTGGAGGCCGTGAAAAGGGCGAACATAGGGGGGTACGAAACTAGACTTATTGAGAGCTACCTTTCGGATAGGGCCATAATAACACCCCAGGGGGACAAGGTAGGGGTGAACTGTGGGGTGCCGCAGGGCTCAATACTGGGCCCGACCCTCTGGAACGTCTTCTACGACCAGGTCCTGAGGATCCCCAGGGAGGAGGGAATAGACCTGGTCGCATATGCAGATGATCTGGCGATAGTGGCGATGGCAAGGACCGAGCAAAGGCTAGTGGAGAAGGCGGAGCACGCGGTGTGGACAGTGGTGGAAACGTTGAGGGAAATGGGTGTTAAGGTGGCCGCCAAGAAGACAGAAGTGTTGATCTTGGTGGGTAGAAGAACTCTCACGAAGCTGGAGTTGAGGGTTCAGGGCCAGGTGGTGGAAAGTCAGGAAACAGTGAGATACCTTGGAGTGCACATGGGAAGAAACATGAGGATGGCCAACCATGTAAAAAAAGCGTGCGAGAAGGCCGCTGAGTAGAGTCATGCCCAGCCCTTTTGGACCAATGAGCGGCAAGAGGAGGGTCATGGCATCCTCAGTCATCTCGGCCACACTGTATGGCGCTAGCCAATGAGTGGAGGCGCTGAAACACCACAAGAACGTGGAGATGCTAGAAAGGGTAAGCCGGAGACTAGCCATTGGCATTACGGCAGCTTATAGAACGGTGTCCACAGCGGCGGTGCAGGTAGTGGCAGGACTCCCACCAATGGACCTGATGGTGAGGGAAAGGGCCCATGTCGAGGATAACGGACCAGACTCGAGGGAGTGGGCAAGAAAGGCCACCCTAAGGGCGTGACAGGAGAGATGGGACGGATATGAGGGGTGGGCCAAGACCTTCATCAAAAACATTGGAGACTGGCACAGCAGCAAGGGTAGGGATGTGGACCACTACGTGACACAGGCGATCACGGGGCACGGTTCCTTCTCTACCTACCTCTTCAAGATAAGGAAGAAGAACAACACCAAGTGTAGGTACTGTTACGAAGAGGATGACCCTAATCATACCTTCTTCAACTGTCAGAGATTTCTGACGTTCAGAGAAAGGGCGGCAGGACGATGTGGTGTAGAAGGCATCACAAGAGAGAGTGTGGGGGAGGTAATGATGGGGTCGGAGGATAACTGGGCTGCGGTGACAGATTGGCTTAGGGATGTCATGAAAACCAAGTGTAAGGAGGAAAAAGGAATGAGCTGTGATAATATGTGATATATATTTTCTAGTCGTACATGCGTGAGTGTCAGTATTTAGTCTAAGGTTACTGTGATATTTTAAAATGTGAGGTCCAAGCTAGTAAGTGTATGTGTCAGCCGAGGACAGGCTGCGAGAGCTGGAGAAAGATACCGTGTCCTGCCAGAAGTAATGCCGAGAGGCGGTTCCTGGCAGGGGGCAACACGAAGAGAGGAAAGGGGGTGGGGAGAAGTCCGAGCCCCACACAGGCCCAGCGACAGATCAACAGCTGGGTACGTGCATTAACGCATTTCCCAAACCTCTATAAAAAAAAACTGAATTGCCTGTAATTAGTTCTACACAATGGAATATGTATTAATGCACTATTTCGAGTATTGATGGTAGGTACACGTAAAGAAAATAGTTTCAATATATCAGAACAGTTAATCAAATTATTAAATATCTTAAACATACAAATTTTATCAAAGTTTATACGCCGTGTTTCTAGCGATTTTATTCCTAGCAAGGATAACTTATGATTATAACTAATATCATCCGAAATCTTAAGTTTAAATAGCTTTTCAATCAAGTTAATATAACACTGTTGTGAGGGTCTTCATATAACTGATGCGTATTCTAAAATGCTACGAGACAAATAATTAAAAAGAATAAGAATTGCATGGATATCAGTAAAATCTTGACATTGTCTAATAACAAAACCACACATTCTTATAGCCTTATTAACAATTTTATCAATATGCTGGATAAAAGTTAACTTTGTATCAAACAGTACACCTAAATCAGTCATAGTGGAGACTCTTTCCAGTTCATTATTATTAATAAAGTAATTATAATTCCAAGTACGAGTAAAAATTATTATTATAAGATAGGTACTTTACGCCTTTGGACATTCTTAATTTTATTGATGTTAGATTGATAATAAGGATACTAAATGAGCAATCCATACTCAAGTTTCGATCTTATTAAGGTAATATACAAAGTTTTAAGAGAGATTATATTTTTAAACGAGGAACAATTACGTATGACAAATCCTAGCATTCGTAGAGCAGAGGCACACATGTTATCAATGTGTTAGAAAAAAGATAATTTACTGTCAAAGAGAATGCCAAGATCTTTTATTTTAACACACCGTTCAATAGAGATATTATTTATAGAGTAAGTAAATATTATTGGATCATAACTTGATGTGTAAGTACAAACTTTGCACTTCTTTATGTTTAAGATTAGTTTATTCTCATCGCACCATTCTTTAAGAACATTCAGTTAATTTTGCAAAGTATGACAATCATTTTCACTGTTAATAACTTTATATATTTTTAGATCGTCAGCAAACAAAAAAAATTACAAATGAGAGGTTGAGGAAGGTGGTTAATGAATAAATTAAAGAACAAGGGGCCAAGGTTAGAGCATTGAGGTAAACGAGAAGGAGCCGAGTAGGAATTGGATTTATATCCGTTGTAACATACAAATTGCTGTCTAGTTTTCTCAGCAAAATGGCATGGTATACTTTATCGAATGCCTTTGAAAAGTCTGTGTATACCACATCAACCTGCTTTTTGTTGTCCAGGGCGTTTGCGATAAATTGATTTACAATGGCCAAATTGGATATAGTTGATCTGTTCGACATAAACCCGTGCTGATTGCTTGAATTATGTGACCTGACTTGATTGTAAATAATGGAATACACACACTTCTCAAAAACCTTAGCGAAATTACAAATTATGGAAATGGGTCTGTAATTTTTCATATTACTAGGGTCTCCAGATTTTATCACTGGGCATACCTTTGTTACTTTCCATGTTTCCGGAAATTGTCCCTTTTGTAATATTGCATTAACAATTAAAAATTAAGGTTTGGAGAAAACGATGGCGCAGTCTTTAACTAAAAAACTAGGAATAAAATTGTAGCCTGATGTTATTTTGTTGGCTAGTTTCTGCATGGCTTTAGTCATTTCAGATTTTGAAACCATAGGAATTGTTACACCGGTATTATACGATAAACTAGGAAGGCCTGACTCACATTATTGCATTCTTGGAGAATAGACGCTCTCAAAAAATGATGCAAAGCCGTTGACAATTTCATCGGGGGTACTAAAGCACGTTTGTTTTTATTATGTATATAATTTCAAAAGGTTCCAGAATCTAAAACCACATTTCCCTCCACCTTCATGAGATAATCACTGTAGCATAACTCAATATCTTGTTTAATTATTTTCCGGAGTCGGGAGAATTTATTGTAATAGTGGTCACATCCAGTTTTTTTTATATTTTTTATGATAACACCTTAAAAATAAAAATTGCAATTTCGGCAACCGTGCCATAGAAGAGAAACACGAATTTAATAAAAAAAGAGTAAAAATTATACACATTCAAGGCAAAAAACAGAAAGTGGCCTTATTGGAAGCAATGGAAATTGATAAGAGGTGAATCTATATTATTCACCAATATTGCGTGCGTGCGAAGTTAAACTTGGATACTCTAAGTATCCGCATATCTACAAGTCGTTTATCATCACAGTACCAGAAAATCTTCTATAAAAAGTTAAACAGCCAAATATGTGGCCTGAAGGAACCAGTATTTCTAATTTTTTATACAAGCTACAGAGTCTAATACCTACCGAAACTCCACCACCGGTTGCCTCACAAGTTTAAATTAAAACATAAAAGAAGAAAGTGCAAATAAAAATTACTACATCAAAGCATTAGAAACAAAACACTGGAATTGGAAATATTTTTGTCAGAATCTACCCACATGAATTTAAATCAGTTACAATAGACAACTACACTGGTGCATCTTGTTATGCTAGAACAGTAACATCACATGGCGGCACTTGTATCTTTGTTAAAAATAATATTAAATTTTATGAAATGGAAAATCTAAAACACATGAGTCAGGAAAAGCAGCTTGAGTGCTCGGCAATTTGCATGGAAGAGAAACAAACAGTGGTTCTAGTTATCTACAGATCTCCCACAGGTAACATAGAGACCTTTTTTAATGTTTTTTTGAATATATTAGAGTTTTTAAATAGTAAATTGGCTAAATATAAAATTTTTATATGTGGTGATTTTAATATAAATTTTTTATCTCAGGATAAAAACACAATTAAATTTAATGTAGTTTAAGATGGCGGAGGGAGTGGACATTCAGTCCCTAACCGCTTCACTAAAACGGTTATCAAAGGAAGATTTAGTTCAAGTTATAATAAAAAAGCGTCTAGAAAGTGAAAGTGCTTCAGGGCAAGAAAAACTAAAATCAGCGATTAGCCAACATTTAAGTCAAACACCTAATGGAAATACCGAAAGTGAAATGTTAAAAATGGAAAATCAGTGCTTAAAACGGGAAATAGTGCTTCTAAATCAGTCAGTAAATGATCTACAATATACCATACAATTACAAAAGGATGCAATAGATAATTTAAAGAAAAATCAAAATCATAACCTCGCATTACCCTCAAACGTGGTAATCCAAAAAAACAGTACAACAACAAATTCAAATAGAGCTTTAGAAATTATAAACCAGGTTGCGAAACAATATTTTCAAGTAGTCGAAACTACGAAACCCCACCAAGAGATGGCGAGACAAAACAACCAAAACAACAACAAAGAAAATGGTGGATCAAACGAATCAAAACAAAGCGATTACAAAACAGTATTATACAAAAAGCCCCAGAAAAGGTACCCCAAAGTGGTAGGCAATAATGTACTTGGCAACCTAAAAGGAGTAGCAAGAAGGCAATCGATATATATAAGTAGGTTGGATACTGAAACAACTGAAGAAGAAATAAAAACTCACTTTAAAGAAAATGGCATAACCTCCTGTGAAATTAAGATGGGAAACTCCAAACACCCAGAAATTTACAAATCCTATATTATTACAGTACCAGAAACAATAATAGAAAAAGTTAAAAAGCCAGAATTATGGCCTGAAGGGGCAAGTATTAGTAATTTTTTATACAAACGTCAAAATCAAACCAGAATAGAGAAGAAGAACTCAGCCTAATACAACAAAATGTGCAGTCAATTGGAAACACCATTAGTGAAGTGGAAGAAATGCTTCAAAACAATCCAATGTGTCAGTTTTTGTGCATCACTGAACATTGGAAATCAGAAACTCAACTTGCCCAATATGGAATAGAGAACTACGATCTTATCACAAGCTTTTGTAGGAAAGAAGGTCAACACGGGGGATCGGCAATCTACGCAAAGCCGGGAATAAAATTTAAACTTAAAAAATCATTAATGAATTATCAGTTTGTAATCATTTTGAGTGTGCCTGTGCAGAATTTACCATTAACAAAACTCAAATAATTATTGTCTCTATATACAGACCTCCAGGTAATATTGAAACATTTTTAAAAAAATTTAAACAAGTATTAAAAAACATTGTGGGAGAAAATAAATACATTATTATTGCAGGTGATTTTAATATATACATGAAAGATACCGATTTTAATTTAAAAAATATACGTTTAACCTCCCTACTAGCTGAATTTGGATTACACAAAACCTTAAATGAACCAACGAGAATAACAAGTACAAGCAAAAGCTGCATTGATAACATTTTAACTAACATGGATACTATTCACTATGCTCAAGTTCTAAATAGTGGTGTAAGGTCGGACCACACCGCACAAATGCTTACTTTTAAAATTAATTTTTCAGAAAACAAAAAGTACATTAATAAGAGATTTTTTAATGTGGAAAATAATAGGCTTTTCTTACAAAAACTACAAAATGAAACTTGGGATAGTGTATATGGTGTCGATAGTAGCGAGGTGAATAAACAATGGGTATCTTTTATGGAAATATTTAAAGTCATTTTTAACTCATGTTATCCACAAAAAACAAATACATACTTTCTTCAAAATAGGGAAGTGCAGGAGTGCAAAAAAAGGTTGGACACTATGCTTGTTTTATCACAACATATGTCAAATTTTAAACCAATATACAGAGATTGTAAAATTTACTACAATAAGCTGCTAAATAAAGTTAAAGCTTACGAGATTAAAATAAAAAAACTCGGATAATAAAAGCAAGTGTCTTTGGTCAATACATAATGAAATTACAGGAAAACGAAATAAATGCGTAGATTGCGCAATCAAAGGGGAAGCTAAAGAAGTAGCAGATAACTTAAATGATTTCTTTATAAATATAGTACCTAAATTAAAAAAAGATCTCCGTAGCATCCCTTTTGATTGCAAAATTGAGTTCAATAATAAGACCATGTTTTTAAAACCAGTAACACCAGTAAAAAATAAAAACAGTAGCGGAATAGATGACATACCAAGCAGTTTAATAAAATTATCCCTTCCAAAGATCAAAGACATTATTTGCTACATAATTAACAACTCCTTTAAGCACGGAATTTTCCCAGATGCACTAAAAATAGCGGTTGTAAAACCAATATATAAAAAAGGCGACCCTGAGAAGCAAGACAATTATAGGCCCATAAGCCTATTACCAAGTTTTTCAAAAAATTTTGAAATGGCAATGTGTGATAGACTGGTAAACTTTTTTACACATTCAAATCTGTTTAGCAAATCTCAGCATGGATTTTTAAAAAATCATTCAACACAAACAGCTTTATTTCAATTCACACAAAATATTATAAATTTTCTAGAGGAAGGTTGTCTGGCAATGGGTATATGCTTGGACCTTTCAAAGGCCTATGATTGTCTTGATTCCGGGATCATGCTTGAAAAACTGAATGCATATGGAGTAAGAGGTATGTCACTTAAATGGCTTCGATCATATTTGGCAAATCGCAAGCAAATAGTAAAAATAGAAAAAAATGGAAATGCAGGTGTATCTGAGTTAAAGGATATCCTACTGGGAATATCCCAGGGGAGTATCCTGGGACCTATACTCTTTTTGATTTTTGTAATTGATTTATGTGAAATTATAAAAAATGATAATAAGTACCAAAGTATGACAAATTTTGCCGATGATAACAACCTTCTAGTGGGAGCTAGGAGTTTTGATATGTTGTCGGAGAGATTTGAAAGTATTTTCGCAAAAACAAAAGACTGGTATGACAAAAATGAGTTTATTTTAAACACTGAAAAAACAAATATTATACTATTTAAAACTAAACAAAGTAGAAAAGAACTAAAAGACAGAGTGGCGTTTAATAATCAAGAAACGCTCTTTGTAAAAAATGTTAAATTTCTTGGGGTTCAAATAGATGAATTTCTTACTTTTGATCTGCAGATAGATGAACTATGTAAAAAGTTAAGTACAATAAAATATAGTATAAATGTTATAAAAAATTACCTTAATTTTAAGAGTCTAAAAATCATTTATCATGCAAATTTCGAGTCAAAAATCAAATATGGTATTGTATTTTATGGAAGTAATTTAAATTCTGAAAAGGTTTTCATTATCCAGAAGGCGGTATTGAGACTGATACTAAAGAAAAAATATAAAGAATCCTGCAGGGGAGAGTTTAGGAAAAGTGATATTCTAACTGTCTACGCGCTATATATATATGACTGTTTAATGTTTTTATTTAAAAATAAAAAAGAGTTCACCCGAGTCAAAATTAAGATCGTAATTTAAACCTTAAGTCTGACAATTTCCGTCTTAAACGGTTTTATATTCGCCTAAAGATAACCAAATGACCTTAAACATGGCAGATAAGTCCATTTTCCTGATTTTTCGGTTCTAATCACGTTTAAATTTAAACCAAAAATTTTATTAGAGGTTTAAATTGGTTTAAATCGGTTCAAATGAAGATTAATTTGGTTGTTCTTGTGCTAAATTGGAGTAAACAGACTGAACAGATTTTAAATCAGTTTTGGTAGGTCAAAGTAGGTTTAAATTACGATTTAAATTTTGAACACAGCAAATCCTATAATACCAGAACACTAGACATGACTTTTCCCATGCACTCCCTTACAAAAACAGAAAAAAGCTGTAAATATATGTGCATTAAACTATTTAATAAGTTGCCAAATGAAATTAAAATAATCCAAAATCTAGTCCAGTATAAAAATCGTATAAAAGAAATATTAGTAAATATAGAACCATATAGCATAAATGAATACCTAAATTTTAAGTTTTAATAATTTTGTTATCGAAGATCAATTGTTAGTATATATGTATATGTATATATGTATATTGTTGACGCATTTCCATTTTACGTTTTGCATTATTGTGTTTGTATATAAAATATTTTCTGGAATAAAGCTATTTATTATTATTATTATTATTATTAATGATATTTTAAACAGTTACAACATAAAGACTACTATTAAAACTCCTACAAGGGGTGATAATTTGATCGATAATATCATTGTCAATGACAATGTTCAGGTGCACCTAACTGGGTGTTTTTCCAGACAAACTCAAAGAAACTATAATAACGCCTATATATAAAAAGGCAATCAATCAGAAATATCTAATTACAGGCCAATTGCCCTTTTAAATAATTTTGTTGTTATTGAAAAAATTATTACAAATAGAATTATAAGTTTTATAAATAAATATAATTTATTTTCTAATAAACAAAATGGGTACATCAAAAAGAGATCTACAGAAAGAGCTATATATAGGCATTGAGGAAATAATAAAATCTTTAAATGAAAAAAAAACAGTGGAGGTATTTTTGGACCTTTCAAATGCATTTGATGCTGTCATCATAACCGTCTTTTATGTAAACTGTTTAAAATAGGTATAAGAGGAAGAGCATATAATTTATTACAATCATATTTATTTAATAGACAATAAAAAACTGTTATATTTAATGATTCATTCAGATTGGGCATCTGTGGTAAGAGGAGTCCCTCAGGGCTCTGTTCTGGGACCCCTGTTGTTTGTTCTCTATGTAAATGAACTGCCTCAATATGTTGAAAAATTAGTTTCTTTTGCTGACGACACGAGTGTTATTATAAGCTCAAAAACAAATGAAGACGCTTTAAAAACAACAAAACAAACAATAGACACCCTCAAGGAATGGTTTGACAATAATATACTTACCTTAAATGTGGAAAAAACACAATTAATTCAATTTTATTCTGGATTTATAAATAATGAATTCTATAACATTGAACTAGAAAATGGTACTATTTTAGAAAGCTGTAACGAAATTAAATTCTTAGGGCTAACAGTCGATTCAAGACTTTCCTGGAAACAACATATAAACAAACTAGCACCTAAACTTACCTAACTAACATATCAATTTAAAACATTAAACTATCTCATTAACACCAAAACGGCCCTAAACATGTAGGTATTATTCAAATGTATACTCTCGAATTAAGTATGGGATTATATTTTGGGGAAATTCCACTGATGTAACAAGAATAAAACTCCTGCAAAAAGATGCCTTTGCCATTGTCCGTGTCGGATAGTTCCTGAACTTGGTAAAGTGTGTCGGTTGTTTTTTTTATTTTATTTTTATTTTTGCTTAGTTGCTCCCAACTGGTATTGTTAATTTGTGAAAAGTGCATGTTTTGTGCTAACGTGTCATGAAATGTGAAGCATGGTCTACCGACTTTTTTGTCTTCAAGATCTAGTTTAAGGGTGGCTTGTAGTTTGTTGCGTTGTCTACGAGTGACGTGGGCCCAGTATTTTAATTGTGCTACTCTTACCCTTTTGGTAATGGTTTTTCCCATTAGCAGGTCGCGGGGATGTTGTAGATGGTAGACGGGTAAGTCTGTCGTTAGTAGTGTAATGATCTTCCGTTCAAGTTTGCGTAATTTTTGTCTGTTTGCGAAGGAGTTTATCATGTGTGCGAAGGAGTTTATCATGTGTGCCGAGCGTAAGGCTGCAATCGCTGCGATAAGGCAGTTCCCAGTGGGGGGTATTTTTTTTACTTTTAATATAAAGTCTGAAGTGTTTACAAATTTCATGGAGTTTGATTAGAGTGCTTTTTTACTTTGTTTATGTTTTCTTAGTTTATGTGTTTTATGTCTTAAGTGTCAAATTTATTTGGTCTCGGTTTGTTATACTTGAATTGTTTTGTTGACAGCTTTATTGCCCTGTTCAACTTTGGTGTGT